TCTCTCACCATCTCACTCTGTCTCTCCCCTCCTCCTTCTCTCACTCCCCCTCCACTTATTCACTTTCTCTATCAGTCACTCTCTCACTCATGCCCCTCCATACTTACTATTGTCTCTTTCTCACTAACTCTCCCCCATTCCTCTCTCTCACCACTTTCTCGTTCACTCATTGTCCCCCATCACTTCCTCTGTCTCTCTTTGCCCCCCACCTGCTCCTCTCTCTCCCTCCTTCCCGTTTCCCTCTCTTTCTTCCTCCCCCTCTCTCTCTCCCTCCCTTCCTCTCTCTCTCTCCCTCCCCCTTCCGCTCTCCCTCTTTCTCTCTCTCTACCCCCCTCTCTCTGTCTCTCTCTTTCTTCTTGTCCCCCTCACCTTCATCACTTCCCCACTCTCTCTCACTCATCACACTCTTTTGCTCACTTCTTCCCTCTACTCCTCTGTTCACACTCACTCTCACACACAGTATCTCACTCTCTCTCTCTCATTTTTCATTCATTCTCTCTCTCTCCCCCATCATCCCATCACACGCTCAGCATAGAGCTGTGGACACCCTTGGGGACTCGCCCCTGTGGAAGGAAGCTCTCAGTCCACAATGCTTGGGTGAACTACTAAGCTCTGAGCATGGGATGGGGGAGTGGGGTAGGGGCTGAGGGATGTGGGAGTAGGGCAGATGGAGAAAGGGAGAGGGGTACCAGAGTAGGGTGAGTGGATAGTGTTGGGAGGGAGCAGGGTGCAGTGAGAGAAGAGTGTGGGTTGGGGGACAGGGTGACATGAGGTGAGGGGTAGGGTAAAGTGCAGGACAGGGAAAGGTGGGAAACAGGGTAGGTGAGGAAAAGGGTAGGGTAGGAGCCAGGGTGAGGTGGGGGAGGAGGGGGGGGGATAGGGTGAGTGAGGGAGAGGGTGAGGTGGGGGACAGGGTGGGGTGGAGAGAGGGTGGGGTGGGGTCAGGGTGAGGTGAAGGACAGGGTGGTGCTGGGGGACAGGATGGGGTGGGAATAGGGTGGAGGAGGGACAGATGGGATAGGAGATGGTGTGGGGGGTAGGGTGGAGGGGGGACAGAATGGGGTGTGGTACAGGATGCAGTGGGCACAGGTGAGTGTAGGGGACAAGGTAGGGTGGGGTACAGGGTGGTGTTGGGGAGAAGGTGAGGGAGGGGAGGATTGGGTAGAGGGCAGGGTGAGGTGGGGGATAGAATGGGGTGGGGGCACAGGGTGAGGAACGAGCACAGAGCGGGGTGAGGGTCAGGGTGAAGTGAGGGGCTGGATAGTGTTGGGGAACAGGGTCTAGTAGGAGACAGGTTGGGGTGGGGTGACAGATGGGAGGGGGACAGGATGGGGTGGAAGAGAAGGTGGAGTGTGGGAACAGGGAGGTGTGGAGTGGACAGGGTGGTATGAAGGGGACGGGGTGGTGTGGCATGGACAGGTTGTTGGGGGTACAGGGTGGTGTGGGAGGACTGGGATGTGTGGAGTGGATGGGGCATGGGGGGACAGGGTGAAGTGTGGGGAGGGAGATGTGGAATGAACAAGGAGGTGTGGAGGGGACAGAGAAGTGTGGAGTTGACAGGGTGGAGTGTGGGGAGAGGGAGCTGTGGAGGGGACAGGGAAGTGTGGAGTGAACCTGGTGGAGGGGACAACGTGGGGTGTAAGGAGGGGTGGAGGGGACATGGTGGAGGGGACAGTGAGGTGGAGGGGACAGGGAAATGTGGAGGGGACAGCATGGGGTGTGGGAGGTGTGGAGTTGACAGGATTGAGTGTGGGGATCAGGGAGTGTGGAGGGGACAGGATGGTGTGGAGGGGACATGGTGGAGGGAACAAGGAGGTATGGAGTGGACCTGGTGGAGGGGACAGGATGGGGTTGGGCTGTCACCAGGTCCAGCCTCCAGGGTTAGGCCATGTGGGTCAAGGTGGCTCCTGCTGGCCTGCCCACTCACCCTGGCCAGTTGCTGGGTTCTCCTTCCTTCTGCTGGAAGGTTCTGGGCTGACGGTCAGCTTCACACGCAGAGTCTTGCTGCTGCTGGTGGAGTGGTTGACTGAGGCGTCCACAACCTCATAAATGGTATGCATCAGGCTGGACATGTCCTGGAGTGGGCAGGGCAGGGCAGGTTCAGGCTTTGTCCAAGATGGCCAGGCACATAAGGTGGTCACTGCCCACCTGCTGCCCACCTGCCTGACACTGGCTCATCCAGCTCTCTGCCCACCCACCCACTCACCTGTCCACATCCCTGAGTGTGTCTGCTCCCTGCCTGCCTGGCTGTCCACTTCTTGTCCAGATGCCTGCCTGTCCATTCACCTCTTCACTTGGTTGCCTGTCTGCTTGTCCACACACCTGCATGTCCACCCAGCCATCTGCCTGCTTCTCTGCCCATCTGCCGGGACACTTCTTTGTCCACCCAGCTTCTGCTTGCTTCCTTTTCCTCATCCAGATGGCCCAGCTGTGCCTCTGGATGTAACCAGGGTGGCAGTGGGTCACTTGAGAGTGGCCTTGGAGACCATTCTCATGGCTCTTCATGAACAGTGCTGTCCCGAGGGCTGGGCAGAGTGACCAGCCTCCATGTTCTCCTTTAGTCTGGTCCCCTCAGCAGTGCCCCGTGTGACCACCCTGTGAGCCTGGCTCCTTCAGGGGCACCTGCCCGAGGGACACCACCAGGGAGCAGTTCAGGACCTCAAACTTGGCCATCGCGTGCAGAGGGCTCCACCTGGACACCACAGAGCCTGCACAGGAGGGCACCTGCAGGAGGTGTTCCTTCCTCTGCAGGGTGAGCTTCCAGCATCCAGTTGCCAATGTCTACCTGTCCGCTGGCCCCATCCTGGCCCTGTGCTCTCAGCACGGATGACCACCCTCCGATGGTCCAGATACCTCTCGAGTGACCTTTCCACTGTTGTCGAAGTCGTAGAGAGTGAAGGTCCACTCCTGTCGGTTGTCCTCCTCCACCGAGACGTCGCATTGCAGCTCCTGGCCCATGGGTGGGAGGGGAGAGTGTCCTCCTATCAGGATGGTGGGCTCCAGGTGGACCCCAGGGTCCCTCCCAAGCCGGAAGGAGGGAGATGGAGTGGAGGAACCCGAAGTCTGGGACCGCTCCATGAATCATCTCAATGGTACACAAGCCGGCGTCCAACAACTCAGTGTCCACCTCAGACCACTGACTGGGGGACACACTGACCCCTGCGAGGATCCGTCTGTGCCCCAGGGACAGTGTGCAGCTGGCACATTGCACCATCTCAGGGGGCACGCATGCCCTGGCTGCTATCCAGGCTGATTCAGTGACCCCTTCCCCCCCCCCAAGCCCCAGGGCGACATGCTGTGGCCACTTCCCTCCCTTGCACTGTAACCCCATGACCCCCAAGACCTAGGGCAGCATGCTGTGACCACTCCCTTCCCCCACCCTGTGGCACCCCATGACCCCTTAGCCCCAGGGCAGCAGCTATGACCACGCCCCTCCCCTACCCGTGTGACTTCCATGTCCAGCATGCATGCTGACCACTTTCTTCCCTCACCCTGTGACACCCCCCCACCAAGTGGGCAGAAGAAAACGTGGACCCACGTCAATATGCAGGCGCTTCCTGCCTGGTCCCCGGCCAGCCACTCGGTCTCCATCCTCAGTGCAGAGCTGGCCAGGCCCCTCCCAGCCTTCAGCCTTCTCAAGGGGCAGCCCCACTGTAGGGAGAGGGGGGGCTCCATCAGTCAGGAGGGGGTGGTGGGCAATCCAGTCAGTGGAAGGGGTCCCAGGACAATGGGATGGACGTTGGGACTCTGGATGAGTGATGGGGAAATGAGGCAGGGGTGGAGGTGTGACCAGGCAGTGGAAGGGTTGACGGGAGGATGGGAGGGACATCTGGACTCTGGACAAGTGATGGGGACATGAGGTAGGGGTGGAGGTGTGGCCAGGCAGTGACAGGCAGGCTCAGTCTCTGCCTCTGGTGGCTGGCTAAGGCCCTGTTTGAGAGTCGGGAGTTCTGGGGATCATGGAGGAGGTGGGCACTCCTGCTGGGTCACGATCTCAGGGTCAGGGGAGCTTCCACATAAGGGGAGCCCATGGCTATTGTTAGACAATGGTTCTTGGGCCTTTGAGCTATGTAGAGGTCAGAAGACCTTAAAAACGAATTATAGATGATCAGCTGCAGACTCTACTGAAAATAACACCAGTGGGGAATTTACGATACATGGTACCTGTGAACTGAGCATCTCTCCCATTTCCCAAGAAAAAGGAG